CCTAATCCACTCTGCTCTCTTCTTGTCTCTTAAGGTTACACCCACCATTTTTCTTTCCGTTGCTCACTGCATTGTCCTCGATTTAACCTGAACCCTCTTTGTAAGTCTCCAGGTTTCTGCTCCGTAGCTAAGTACCGGCAAGATGCAGCTGTATACCTTCCTCTTGAAGGATAGTGGCAATCTACTTGTCAGAATTTGAGAGTGCTTGCCAAATGTGCTCCACCCCATCCTCATTCTTCTAGTCACTTCAATCTCGTGGTTCGGCTCCGCAGTTATTACCTGCCCTAAGTAGACATACAGTCTTTTACAACTTGAGGTGCACTATTACCTATCTTGAAGCAATGCTCTTAAAATTGGGTGGGTCTTAAAATTAGTCTGCAGAAAACGAAAGTAATGTACAACAACCTCGAAAAAGAGCAGTGCTTCGAGATAGGTGTAACCTTAGGAGACAAGAAGAGAGCAGAGTGGATTAGGGAACAAACCGGGGTTAAGGATATCATAGTTGAAATCAAGAAGAAGAAATGGACATGGGCCGGGCATGTAGCACGTAGACAGGATAACTGCTGGTTATTAAGGGTAACTAACTGAATTCCTTAAGAAGGCAAGCAGGTTAGGAGGAGACAAAAGGTTAGGTGGACGGATGAGATTAAGAAGTTTGCAGGTACAAATTGGCAGCAGCAAGCAGAAGACCGAGTTGACTGGCGGAACATGGGAGAGGCCTTTGTCCTGCAGTGGACGTAGTCAGGCTGATGATGATAATGATGATGTGTATTTATTTCGTGAAGCAACTTCCCGCACGTCTTTTAAAATGAATAACTTACGTTTTCTATCACTTTACATGTACCTTGCTCAACTTTTCAAGCCATATTTTTTTCTGAATCATCACCTTAATATCATGAACAAATGGCATTACTTTTTTCTTGTGTAGCACCACCACGGATCGAATGATATTTCTTGCTCTGAATGACATTTGAACCAAATGACATTTTAACACCTCTAGCATGACAGGGGTATAAGACCTACCCTGGACATTTTAGCCAATGATCCTACATAAAACTTTCGGCAATAAAAACAATGCATGCGTTCGGCCAGTAAAAAATAAAAATTAAGGGTAATCGAACTTCTCAGGCAAACCTAACCCCCCCCCCTTTTTTTAACTTTCATAGCAACTGACATCTAAGATTGAGAATGTTTTCCCTGCCACAAGAAACAAGAAAACCTGCAGACATAAGCTGCTTCCACAAACAAAAGTAAACTTGACCAAAACAAAAAATAAAGAGCAATTCCTTGTTATCTCTTCACTCGAATGAAGAATTCACCATGCAAGAGATTAGTCCAGTTCTAAGGTGATGAATACTCTTCCATTATTATTTGCCATTGATTCTACCTTAACTGGGAGGCGATTTATGCAAAAGCTGTTCCTAACTAAAGTGTGGGGGTAGTGATGGCAAGTGTGGTGCTTCCACAATTTTATTCCATGTTTCCCATACGCAGCAGCTCCCCCTACTACAACGAGTAAGAATATCTCCTGACGACTCTGTCCTATCTTCACAGTTTCCTCCGCAACTTTCTTTAAAGTTAAGTATAGCTATTGAAAATTAGTACAAAATCTTTTAAATCAATCTTTTAGATTTACTAAATAACCTCAGTACCATTAATGCCTATAGTCTTTCATTAGTGCAGCCACACCTTTAATCTTTGTGCAGCTCACTTAACTCGCTGCCCCAGTCATCTATTACGTTTGGCGTGCTAATGGCAGAAGTCACACATGCACAAAAATTGTACATGGCTAGTATGTTTTCTTCCAAATTTCCTTGTAAAAAAAAAACTCGTATTGAATTCAGAATTCATATTTCTTTACCTAATACATTTAATTTTTGCCAACACTGAAAGGCAGCATGTATCCTTTGTTGGATAAGAGCAGGAACAGAGGACAAGGAAGAAGTTTTGCATATGGCTTTACTTCGAAAGCATGGTCACTGGAGCAATACCAATAAAAGATTGGTTGTAGTGGCATCACACAGGTAAACTGTGATCTCAGTTTCACACTTGACGAGAATTACCTCTACATATTCCACACAGAGCCAGAGGTAACATTGCTCATAACTCCCCAGGATTCCTGGTTGCAGTGGCATCACACAGGTAAACTGTGATATCAGTTTCACACTTGATGAGAATTACCTCTACATTATCCACACAAAGCCAGAGGTAACAATGGTCATAACTCAGCACTTATGCCCTGCCTAATGGTGCTTACTGGCAACATACACATGTATGAGGGGCAGTACATGAACGAAGTTGAGATCATCAGTGAAGTGGATTTATAGAAGGCGTACACAATAGGCATAAAATGGGCGTGTGTCTGTCTAGTTTTAGTGTAATAAAAAACTCCTGTTCCATATTAATACAGCGCGACACCACTATGGTGCTAAAACAAAAACGGCAGCATCCATCGGGAAAATACCGCCCACTCAACCCAGGTGACAGTGATATATGCAGCCTCCTTGGGTTATGAAATTTTGCCTCACTGTCCACCATCTTTAGTGAATGTTTCCTCTTTTTTGATACAAGGGAACAATGCGCAGGAAGCATTTTTACAACGACTAAGAAGTCATCACTCAAGACAAACTCTTGCTGAACTCTCAAACTGAAAAGTTCTAGTGCAATGGCCTGCATCTCATGCATCATTGGCAGAAGTACAATACCTTGGGAGGAGGTTATGTATAAAAAGAATAAACTTGCACTAAACTTGTGTATCCATGTCTCTCTTTCCTTATGCCTATATACGAACTTCACGAATAACTTTTTTATATTGCCTGTAAGGCAAAAGCTTCCTATATCTTGGTCCCTCAAGGGTGGCTCGAGGCATCCACACCACATGTTTGCTTTGGATGCGTACACGTACCAATGATACTTGTTTTTTAACACGTTTTCTGTTATTACTTATATTAGAGTTACAAAAATGTATTCCTACAGTTTGTTGCATCTTTTCTTATGGACGAGCATACCTACATATCATGTTCTTAATTATGCTTTGCTAAAACACGCTAGCTAAAAACACGAAAATAGCATGTAAGCTAATTTTAAAAGTAGCCTATTTTGGCAGTCCAGGACACTGGCAATGAGCCACAATAAGCTCATGCAACAAGTATAATAACAAACAGCTAAATTTAATGATAACTGATGACAAACAATCCCTTTGAACTGCACTACGTGTACAACATAAACTGGACATAACCTAGTACTTTGAAACTTCAACACTTTATGCAAAAAAACATTTCAATGACAATACAGGCTAAGAGCTTTTGCAGGCGAAAATACTATGAAACATTACTTCACAAGCTAGTTCTCACCGCTGCTGCTTAACATTTATATACTCTGCAAATATGTATGGGTGCACCATATACTGCAGTCATATACTAAAACATCTGCCAATCAAGGCAGATACAGCTACTAATGCACCTTCCTTTTTCAGCAAGTGATAGACAAATGTAGTAATGCTCATAAAATTCACAAGAAAGAACATACTGCAAAGAGAAGTGGTACAGGCCTGATAAGAAATGAGAAGAGATGGAGAGAGAGAGAGAGAGTGATTGAGAGAAAGCAGAGGACAAGACCACATAGGGGCCAGACGACTGAAGTGCCTCCAAGAAGAGGACTAAGGCAAGCACTGTAGACGAGTACTACGCAAAAGGGTAACATACAGACCCAACAGAACACACTGGCAAGCGCAAACAGCAGCCGCCTAAGGCTCAGCCCTTGCAGCCAGCACATGCGTTGCCTCTAGGAAGAAAGAGGATGTAAGGCATCTGACTAACACAAGACCTAACTCCTTGCAGCTTAGGGCTTATCAAGAACAGTTCATGCAAGCGCACAACTAAGGAGACCCATCTTCTCTTAAAAAAAATTAGGGGAATTTTCAGTGTCAATGAAAATCTGTACCTAAAACATGCCATGTCTATAAACCAGCAAAATAAAAAAAAGGCCCTGGCCATTTACAACCTCTGACTCACAAATGTTAAGCACACAGTCTAACAATGCTGTCATTTTAGAATATAACAGTCCACTAGTTGAGAAGAAAATGAACAAAAATACAAGAACCAAAATACAAGAACACCACAGCAACAAAAAGCAAGAGTGATTTTCCTATTCAGACTAAAAATATTGTTACCATAAATATTACAAAGCGTAAGGCTAGAAAGGGGTTGAAAAAGAGAAAAATAGGGATTCCTATGCAGAATTTCCAGATGACTGCCGAAGTCTACATGGTAATGCAACTAACCATGTAGGCGTATGAAATATTCCTTGGAAGTAAACAAGTAAAAAAATGTAGGTAGATGACACTAAATAAATTTTTATCATTACTGCTCCAAATTTTGACTGGCAGAACGCAAGGCATGTTGCATGAGGCTGCACTTACTTTAAGTTACAATTGGGTTCATTCCGAAGCAGTAACACATAAGACACACACACAAAAAAAACTTTGTCTCTTTTTGTGCATGAAGGTAGGTTATGCTGCATCCCAATCGAAGAGACAGAAGCCCTGGTTTCAATAGTGAAACACCAGACAATTATGTCCGTATTGAGGCAAACGCATTTATAGAAATAAGCACTCTTCATTAAAGCAAAACAGTCTCTGATCGACCTACAGTATGCAGAACACTAACTGCAATTATTTAAAACAAGCACAGTAGTAAAAAAATCTGCTTTTATATTTGGTGTAACAGTCAAGAAATGTGCCACAGTTTTTGGCAAAATCTACATTATAGTAATGTACACTGGACCACCCATGCAAGAACAGCTTTCCTAACAGGCACAATGGCATTCATGCCGTTCGGATCATTCTATCTCACAATAATGAAACATAAGATGTAGACTTGAGCTACTAAAAGCTTATCAATCGGATGCTAGACATAACTAAAGGACATCAAAAGGCAAGAAACACACACAGACACATGTCACAGGCAAGGGCAGGCACAGCATGCTGTATGGTGACTTACTTGGTCACAGCAGTTGCCTATGATGAGAATTTCCTGCAAGCTGAGATGACTGGAGGGAACTTTCTCCATGGGTGGGGTATTTAACGGGCTCAGTCGATGGGAAAGCACTATAGAGGATGAGTCCAGGTCCACCACATTCACCAGGTTGTCAGCCTAACACAAAAGGAACAAAGAAAAGGTAGTTGTTAAACTAAAAGCCAGTATGGAAGGCCCATGGGGGATAAGTCAACAACTGATATGACTCAAAGGAACTTCAATTCCACAATGTGAAATAGCCTCAAGATGTGCAAAAAAATTATTGTACAACATTACACCAACACTTTTGGCAGACTTTACAAGTTAAAGATATTAAATTAGGGAGACTGTCAAGAAATTTACTGAAATTTAACAACACAAACATTTCAGGGATCAATGTTGACCCTCCGGAGCCTGGGGTCTAACCCCTTGTAAAAAGCTAACTCCAGCCAAGCCGTTCTAGTGAAAAAAAAAAAAAAAACAAACACATAGGGATCAAATTTACATTTCAAATTACAATTGTTGCTTTCATGGCACTCTTGTGAACTCTTGCAGTGTTTGCAATACTACGCTTCACCATAGTAGATACGCAAAACTGAAGCACTCAATGTGGCCACACATTTCATAGCACAGTAAAGTATGGCTGCCTTTTCCTAATTAAAATTGTTGCTAACATTTACTGTCATTTAGAATGTAAGGGCAAACTTCGAGGACGCTAGAGCTTCTCCTTCAAGAGTAGAATGTGACAGTGTAATGAGACACCATGCGCATGGCCTTCTCGATTTCCTAGCCTGGCCTCGGTTGTTGGTACATACCTCAACCATGTCGTAAAAAAACAAACGACTGCGCAAGTAACATTGGCTGTTTCAAACTATCCTAGAATACCTACTCAACTACAGTTGTTAAGAATACCTACTTAACTACAGTTATTACGTGGCCACTGTGCCACAGCTCTTCCTTTTGTGAATCAGCGAAGGGCCGCACGTAAGTAAGGAAACACACGAACCTACAGCAAAGTGACTTGTTGGGCGAGTTGGTTCCTTCTTAACGTAGCTTTTGGCGCAAAATAAACATGAGACACGGACAAGTGCAAACTATCAACTGAACTTATTCGAAAAAGCACACACATATAATTCACAAGTCATATTAGCAGAAAATAAATCCTATTGGTGGCAAGCACTCAATCTATCTCAGTGGCATGTAACATGACAGAGAGCCTCACTACGCATGTCTCGCCCATTATGTTAATAAAATATGCTTCCTCGATTTTTCGTGCAACTTGAAAAGAAAGTTGTATAAGAAATTGAGGAAGGATATTTTATTAACAGATTAGGCGAGACATGTAGCGAGATCCTCTGTCACATTACATGCCACCCAAATAGATTATTTGACTGCTTGCCACTAATAGGGTTTATTTCCTGCTAATTAGACTTGTGAATTATATGTGTATGCTTTTTCGAATAAGTTCAGTTGATAGTTTGCGCTTGTCCGTCCCTCGTGTTTAATTCGGGCCAAAAGCTACGTTAAAAACACGAACCTACACAGCAGTTTTGCCCTGCCGCGGTGGTCTAGTGATTAAGGTACTCAGATGCTGACCCGCAGGTTGCGGGATCGAATCCCTTCTGCGGCGGCTGCATTTCCGATGGAGATGGAAATTTAGTAGGCCCGTGTGCTCAGATTTCAGTGCAGGTTAAAGATCCCCAGGTGGTGGAAATTTCCGGAGCCCTCCACTACAGCGTCTCTCATAATCATATGGTGGTTTTGGGACGTTAAACCCCACATATCAATAAATTATGCAGCAGTTTGCTTTGTTTATGCTTTTGCAGCTGATTACAATTAAATATGTCTGAGCACTTTGTAATGAGTGGGCCTTTAAAACACTCACTCATTGCTCAATTCACATCATTAGACATCTAATGCGATTCAACACTTCTGCAACACAATATATAAGGCATTAAGGTGACTTCTTACACAACAATTTCATGTAGTGTTTTTTTTTTTCGTCAGTTTTTCAACAAATATTGTGGCTTCGTAGTATAACACCTACTTGCTACATAGACGACCTGTATTCGATCCTCACTCTGACATAGATATTTCCACTATTTTATTTATATTTTTATCAATTTTTCGGTCACAGAAAATTGACAAAATGCCTATGCCAACTCCGGCATTTCTGCGAAACAAGTTTTTTTTATGGTATCTAGTTAAAATACCTCAGAAAATAGTGAAAAATTATAACAGTTGCATAAACACACCTATATCAACTGATCATTCACGCACAACTTTCATATGTTAAACAGGGTATAGAAAACTAACAAAGCGATTTAAAAATTTCTAATTCAAGCTTTAGACATCCAATGATGATATAGAGAGTTTATTGATGCAAAAGCCACTTATGGCCAAAGAGCGCCAAGACAAAGTATCGTGTGGATACACTAGTGGGGTCAATATCAATGAATGGATCAAGTGGCTATATAGGAGCTCAAAATGATTTGCAAGGAATGCGTGAAAAATAATATCACCATTCAAATTATGACAATGACAAAAAAGATGCACAATGAATATGAAAGATGTATGGTTAAAAAAACTAAAAACAAGAATGTGAATAATTATAAGCACTACAGCCTCAGAAGAACCCTTGAATGAAAGTAACTTGAGGAAAATTCATTCCCGCTATACACTCGTAGCAGTGTTCTCTCAAAGAATCTGCTGTGAATCTCTGGTGTGAATTATTTGCAATGATCTCAAGTCTTTTACAAAACTTAAAACTGGGGCGTGATCAGAAACTGGGTCATTGCCTAAAAACATGGATGGAGTGGAATATCGCTGCAACAATCCTTAAAAGAGTGCTTTTTTCTTTCATGCTCTGATTTCCGACATTCCATCAAAACATGAAGCACAGCTATACCTTCCTCACATCCATTACAGGCAAGGGGGTTCATTCCAGTTTAAGATGTCTTGAGTTACACAATTAGCAATCATAACTATCAATGGAAAGCTCATTCTGCTGAAATGTTTTACAGAACACATACTTTCAGATATCCATGATGAACGTGCATGCATGCATGCATGCATGCGTGATCCATGCAGGCATTTTCCTTCGCTAAGGAACTGCTGCAAACTCCGAGGTCCACAAACAAGTTGTTGCAGCACAACACTATCCTTATATTTATATATATTTTCCAAGTTACGATATGGCAAGGGCATCTATCATATCAGGCCTTTACAGAAGAAAGCAGTGCATGTGTTCAAAAGAAATTACATCATCCCCAAACTGTAATGCCCAATATTCAATAATTCTGCCAGGATCTGAAAGTTTGACAAAGTGGTTTTCCCTTTCTTGGCTTCCACCATGCCATGCCGAGCATATCTTTTACTGTTTTTAATGAAAAAAATATACAATTGCCTGTGAATTGAAAATCTGGAATAAAAGTTGCTTCGACCTTTCAGTAAGTCTCCAACCAATGATAAATGATGAATTCCTGAAAAAAAAATTACATATAAACCATATGGTCTTTGTCACATCAATATCTGGTCAATAATTCTTACTTTGAAGACGGTAACATTACAGAAAACAACTATCACCTTGAACTTCTAATGCCACTCCATCATTACACTCAATGAAAATTCATCTTAATGAGAATCCACTGTTAATATGCAGGTTCCTAATGCTGATTTCTGTAGTGCTTGATTTGGAAGTACTGCCAAGCAGAGATGAACAATATAGAACTCGTGATAAGCAATATACAGTATAACGTCATCTCTACGCTCCTACTATGCTTTCTCAGTTACAGGTTCTGAAACACCAATACAGTATGATTTCCATAGAGTTATGCACGTTACCATCCTGTTTGCTACAATTTCAACACGGTTACTTTCCCCAGAGGGTGCAGCACAGTACCCCAATATATATGTAATTATAACTTCTAAGGCTTTATGAATCAAACTACAACTTGATTATGAGGCAGAATGTAATGAAGGACTCTATAAATGTCAACAACTTGGTGTTCGTTCATACCACCGACACCGCAAACTACAGGGCCCTCTAGCATTTCAGCTGTTATGGAGCTTGGCTGCTGACCTCGAAGACGTGGGTTTGATCCCAGCCGCGGTGATCACGTTTCGAACGTGATCACCGCGGCTGGGATCAAACCCACGTCTTCGAGGTCAGCAGTCAAGCTTCATAACTATAACACAATGGTGGCTGCCATACCCTGCCATGGTGCTCGGCTGCTGACCCGTGGGTCGCAGGTTAGAATCCCAGCCACAGTGGCCACATTTTTTGATGCATGCGAAAATGCTTGTGGCCCATTTACTTAGATTTAAGTGCCCGTTAAAGAGCTGCAGGTGATCTAAATTTCAGAAGGCCTCCACTAAGACGTCTCTCATAATCATATGGCAGTTTATCTAAGTTAAACCACAACATTAATTTTACATTACACTGGGGCAGCCATCATACATTGCCCAATAGCGGAGCCTACGTTGAATACCTCTGGCTGTGAACAACATTGACTTCGTGGCACCACACGCAGAGCAGTGTAGAAGTGTTGCTGCCATGCTTATATTGTAGCCGGAATTCCGCTAGGTGGCGTAGGGTGGTGAGGACGTGCTCACATCGCTCTCCGCTTTATGAAACGCTTTCAGGCGGAAATTTCATTCAAGTCTATTTGAAGTGCGCGTCATCTTTATCGTGAAGTTGCGAGGATTTGAAGGACACCAAAATCTGGGACTTGGACCAGCTTCACGAGAAACAATCAACATTGGAAGACACGACGTGCACGAACGCAGCTCACCGTATCACCGGCTTCGGTTGGCGGCACTGGGACGCTAAACCGTGCGGGGTGCGGCGACGTGTGTGTGTGCGTCGACTGGCTCAACACCATCCGACCGAATTTCTCCGACATTTTCTAACCAATTTAGAAGTCGATGGTAAGTGCCATTTAACCTCCCTTTCGGACTATACGCCTTGCGCAGGGGAAAACGGAGGTCGACCTATTCCCCTGTATCTACTGAGCATGCATGCATAAGGACGCCTAGAAATTCTTTGTCTAGATGGACGTCGACGAAGACTCTCCCAATGCATCTCTGGTGTCGGAGAATCAACCGAACGACGCGAGTAGCGTCCCATAAAATGAGGA